TTTAGGCTAACCAAGCTTAGATTTCGGTTTAACTAACCTAATTTGCCAAGAAAATCCAGCAATTACTTTTTAATTGCACATTCGATTTGAAGTTAAAAGGAGTGTTGTTCACACAATCCCTTCTCTTTCTTGCTTATATGTTAAGCTAATATATTGTTTTGTCTTTGATTAATTGTTAGTGGTCCCATCTATAATTTTACCTTTTCATGAAAGTAACTCACTAAATGGATGCATGAACCAAGAGATATCGGTGATAAAAGAATTGTTGTTATTCATTGAGGTCTCGGGTTTAAGCACCATGAATGTTAAGAGTGTAAACATTCAATATCGAATGGTTGAAAGTCATTCCTAAACATATATCATCTTATATTAATCCCAGATAAAAAAAAACCTCATTAAATTGATATTTTCATAGAAGATATGCAAGTTTATTTTTACAAATAATTAGGGTAGAAAGTCAAAATTTGAGTGACCTTTGAAGGATTTGAGTTTGAATTGATATATAACTTAAGCATAAGCTTCTGCTAACCGAAATTTAATACAAAAGTTAAAATGATATTTAGAGAGAGAATAAAATGAATGAACTATGCTTAAATAGTATTTTAGAAAAGAAAATATAATTATCATTTTTATCTTTTAATTTAAAAGTTAAATTTATGTACAAAGCAAAGTAGTAATAATTTTTTCACAAAAAAAAAGTCAATTAAATGATATGTGACTATTCAACTACTAAAAAATGGCATAAAATGATATTATGACAAAACAATTGTCATTCCCTTGAAAAACTGTCCTTTAAGAATTATATTTAAAAAAATTACCGGCATAAATATTTCTTACCCGCGTAAAAGGTCATAAAATCTGAAACTATATATATTATAATGTTTTATGGATAATTATTTGACATATTATCGGTATAAATTTTTATAAATATAAATAAAACTATTATAAATGTTTTTATAATACTATTAAATAAATAAAATTATTAGAATTTATCAAATGATCTTAGTGGTAAAGAGAATATTGTTCTCTCAAAATGTCTAGGATTAGAATAGTTTGATCTATAGAATGTGGGTACATTGTCAATGAATAATAAAAAATTCTAAATTAATATTAGTTTATAATCACTCCATACTATTTAAAAAAATAAACGCTTACCAACGAGGATTAATTCAAGTGATAAGAGTTTAATATCGCTTAAACAAGACTCAAGTTCAAGGCTTTGTGTTTGTAAAAAATCCACACTATGAGACTTACTCATTAAAATTAGATGTGTGACACGAGTCAATCAAGACAAAACTCTAAAGAATTGAGAAGGAAAAAATATTTATCTTCAATATAATAATTTTTTCCATAAAAATATATTATTACCAATACAACAATATCCATGCTTCATTAAACTTAATTATAATTATTTATTGTTAAGCCCCCTAACCGTCGAAAGTCAACGAAAACAACAAAGCGACGGATGAGAGATTGGTTGGCCCAAATTCATCTTGATGGAGTGTTTTCATCTTTTAGGGTAAAGTAGTCAATATCAAGACAAGAGAGCGTGTAGAAATTGTCATGATGGGAGCCACTTGGTTGTTGCATGCATGGTCAAATATTTGTGCACTAAATTAGCTCCAAATTCAATACTACTTCGCCTCTTCTTTTGTTTGGTAAACAAATAGAGCAAAACACTAGTCGATATCATTTTAAATACAATATTTTTTTAATTATTGAAATCGTTTGATTCGTATTTTTAATTTTTCTGATACAATTAGAAGAACCCATTTAATCTTAAAGCCAAAAGTTAAAAAAAAAATATAGAATATGGTGCATGTCAAGTTAGGAAAATGAATATATATGATGCCGAGGATATGCGAGATTCAAGGAAAGACATTCACAATCCCACAACTCACATTCCTTCAACTGATTTTCCTCCACACAATAATGTGATTAGGTTTTTTTTCATACTAATTAATAATTATTAGTTTATTTTTTTAGTTAAATCATCCGTTCAATAGTCTGAAAATGATCCAATCTCGTGAATGCTTCGAAATCCTTCCATATTTTATGGATCAATAATAGGAGTACAAGAAACCGCAAAAATTAGCACAAATGACCCATGAATTTTGATAAATCATTCAATTTGGTACACGTACCATTGGTATGATATTTCACTTAATAATTCATGTATACTTAAAATCATATATGGTGGGATTTAAATAAAAAAAACTTTAATATTCTTAAAATCTTTTCTTTATTAATAAAATTCGAATCTTAAACATATGAACGTTAAAGAGCATATATTTAATTAAAGGGTAAAGTATACAAATGGTCCTACGATTATAGGACAATGTTTTATTGAGTCTATTGACTATTAAAAGTTACAAAATTGTCACCTTCCTATTCATATGTTCCAAACTAATTATTTTTTGTTAAAAATTTGATGACAGACTATGTTGGACGTTAACATGTTGATTGAGATATGATAATCGTTTGAGATTTTGAGATCATATTTTATCATATCACATTCAGCAGGTTAACGTCTAGATCAGATTACCGTCAATTTTTAACTTTTAATAATCGATGCACTCAACAAAGCAATAACTTGTAGTCAAGGGATCATTTCGTCACTTTTAATAGTTGGGGGACTCTATAAACTAATACCCTATAATCGGGGGACCATTTTGGTACTTTACCCTTAATTAAATAAATTATTCATGTTGCATTTGAAATTAGTTGGAAATTTATTTAGTTATTTATTTTATGGTTACTAATTAGGGGTGTGCGTTCGATTGAGTCGAGTCGAGTCAAAAAATTCGTGACTTGAATTTTTTTTCGAGTTTCTGTTTAAATTTATTTGTAAATATTTATAATATTATGATATTATTTTATTCTAATTTAAATGGTTTTTATAACCATATACATGTATATTTCTTTATATATTTTTTCATATGTGATATACATATATCAAACTGAATCGAGAGACTCAACTCATACTTGGAAATCAATCAACTAATTACTAAAAATTTCAAGTTATTCGAGTTTTATTTTACAACTCCATTTGAACTTAAAAAATTAAGTTGAGTTTATGAAATTATAACTCAAAATCAATTTGAGTCGAGATTTTTTTACTCGAATTGAATTAAAAAATTAATTTTTTCTAATCGAATCGAATTTTGCTCACTCATAATGCCTACCTCAATGGTAACCAAACAAGGTGATAAATATTCCTTGCAAAATAATAAATAAATTTTAAATGTTGCTTAATTGTAGATATCATTTCGGTTGAGTGAACCCAGATTAATTCAATTCAGCACCGGTCTCAGGGCCTGAACTTTTATGAATGATGTGAATTTGTTACTTCAAATACAATAGAGTTAATCCCATAGATGGCCATTCTAATTTGATATTAAATTTTAAAATATTTTATATCCATACTCAAATGATGAATTCATTTTAAATTCATCCTTAAATTTTAAAATATTATATATCATTCCTTAAAGTATCAATATCATTCTATTTTAATTCTTCTATTAACATGTCATTAACTTTACTGATTAAAAATATATGTTGTTGAAAGTTTTGGGAATTTTTTAGAAGATCACATGTTCATCTCCTAGGACCTTCGAAAATATAATATATTTTATTAACTCGTAAATTTGATAAAACATTAACATAATAATCAAAATAGAATGATAATGATAATTTAAGGATTGATATAGATTATTTTAAAATTTATGGACCAAATTAAAATGAGGGTCATAATATGAAGTCTGATATAAATATTTTAAAGTTTAGAAACCAATTTAAAATAGGATTCAAGTTTAAGGATCTCATGTGCAATTTTCTCAATGTAATATTCTACTTTTATTTGCATGGGTTCCATTTATTATTCTTCTTAAAATTTTCTTTTCCCATTTCAATCCTAATCAGATAGGTCATAAATATTCATTGCCCAACACTTAAATAAGAGACAATGAAGTATATCCGAACTCATAATCCAATGAATATTACAATAGAAATGTTACCAGTTAAATTAATGTTTTATTTTTTATGTCCTTTTAATATTTTTTAAAAAATATTAGGTTTTAGAACTATCAAGTGATCTTAACGATTAAAATAATTTTAATTTTTAGAAGCTGGGTTCGAACAGATATGTCTACCGAGTATATATATGTCATTACTGATTAAGAATTTTTTTGAACACATACAATTTTGACTATTATAAAAAATGAAAAAAAGTATATATTATGTTTTAAATAGTTATAAGAAGGAATCTATTTCATGAAAAAAAACTAAAAGTTGTTTAAAAAATAGCTTAGAAAAAAATATATCAACCGGTGGGTGGGTACATATTAATAATTATTATCATATCTAACAGCCATGTGAAGATAGAGGAAATGGATACCAATTTCGTATCCTTTTAGTTGAATCTTGTTCGGAGTCAAAATTCCCTTCATTTTCTATGGCCGTGATTGACGCACACGTTATTTAGTAGCACCAAGACTATTTTTTTAAAATATTACAAGTTACTGTATTGGGAAATTAAATTGAATTCAACCCTTAAATGATTAGATAATTTTTAAAATATTTTTAATATAAATATTATTTAAAAATTAAGAAGTCTTTTTTTATCATTTGATTTGATCTAAGAAATGTTAATAATTAATAAATTCAGTTTATTTATTATGCTTAATTAAAACGATTTAATTAATGCCGCAAATTCAGCAGGAAACTATGACATTCTGCTCCCCCTCCCAATCTCCAGCCGTACGCCCGTAATATCTGACGTGGAATTACCCCAGGGATAAAATAGTGAAATTATAATTGTTTAATCGTGGTGAAATGGTTGGGAGACAGTTTGTGGCGGTTAGGTGACTTATTAGGTTATTTGGTTTGAAACGGCGTCGTCTTGATCTTTCTTTAATTATTATTTTAGTAGGTTTTTTTGTTCGTGGCTCTATAAGAGCCGTTTTCTTGGAGCTTGCACCCTGTCTCTCCCTGCGTCTCCTTCTTTTCCATTCATTGGCTCTTTTCTCTATCTCAGTTTTCCCTGTTTTATTTTTATTTTCCTCCAGTTTTTCTGATTGTCTGTTTGGATAGTGAGAAAGTTGCAATGACAGTTTCCAAGAAATGGGTCTTTGCTTCTTTAGCTGTTCTGTTTTTGTTTCTTACTGGAGCAACGGCCACTCTACGGACAAACGGATCTTCCAGGTCTCTCCATCTCTCTCTATCTTCATCTCTGCTTTAAGTCTTTCTCTCTGTAAATTTTCTTTTTTTTTCTATTGGGTTTGAGGTTTTTTCCTTCGAAATTGTAACCTACATTATGTCATTTTGTAGAGAAATAGAATCCAAATTATATAGAATTTTCATTGTCTAGATCTTGAAAAATCATATGGAAAATTAGTATCATTCTCGGAGGGGATGAAGTTTTCATTTTAATAACTTCATTACCAGATACCTTGAATCTCAATTTTTCATTTATTTTCACAGCAATGTGGAGACGGAGATGCAGCAGAGCTCAAAAAACTCAACAATGGCAGCTAGGTAAATGCATTGCAGATCTTAACCAACACTAGTTTTTTTTTCCTTTTCACTTTTGCCAATTTAGGTGCCGTTACTATTTGCCATCATCTCAGCCGTTCGTTTTGTCACCTTCGGTTCTTCTTGTGGTTAGACCGTTGGATCATGGTCTGTTTAACAATAAAAGAACGATCCAAGCCGTGGAGATCCAGATCCTTAGATCATAACTGTTTACTCAGATTCCTTCTTTTATTGTTTCGTTAGTTAACGAAATCCGGTCTAAGGGTCGAGCCGCGGTTCTGTTTCTCCCTCGAACTGCTTTTGCAATGGTCTTGGAGGACAGTAGAATAGATTCGAGTCTCTTTGAGCAGTGTACTTGCTGTCATCCATAGTGTAGTTTTGTACTCGCTTCTAAAAAGTGATACGTGTACGTTTACAGATTTTATTACATATTTTTATATAAACATATTGGAAATTATTAATTTAGACTTGGGTTGGGATTTCAGGTGGAATGAGCATGCGGTGGATGATCCAGAGGCCGTTGCAGCCGAGGTCCAGGCCAGCATCTACATGTGAGTCCTCTAATTTGTTCCATTTTTTATGGGAGTAGAAAAACACATTTTAAGAGTTACAAATTACATAGCGATGGAAACCTGATAGGAAGGAATCAATATCTCAAAATCAATCTATTTATTTAACGATTTAGGAGTATTCTTCATCTTAAAAATTCTGAATTCGATTCATTATATATATAAAAGTGTGCATATTATCAATAATTGAATTTTTAAAAAATAAATATTATCTTATAATTAAAAAAAAAACTCAAATCATTCATTTCCTTATCCGTTGATAATGACAATTTTATTTTACTGCATTGCATCCGTGTCTAATTGGCACACGGTCATTACAGTTCTTGTTACATCACGAGTCTATCCAATCCCATGCTAATGCTATCATTTCACTGCACGTGCTTGAAGGTCCAATGTTTCCTATTCTAAGAAATGCCCTAATGATACACTTTTTAGCTCTATTAACACACTAAAGTTTCATTGCACCGCATGACTATAATCTTATCTTGCTTAGTTCTCCCATAAATAATGACACCCCACTTTCCTATCTTTTATTTATTGTACATTCAAATTCTAAGGAAAAGTATGAACTAATCCATCTCAATGATTAAAGCATTATTATTATCTTTTAAATTTTTGAGTTCGGACACCATATATATATATATATAAAAGAGCATATGAACATTTTAAGTTGAAAGTCTTAATCAATTAGTATACTGTTTTCGCTCGAAACACTAATAAAGAACAAAATAGCCCAAGTGAAATTGTTTTCTGATATTATTGGTGTTTAACTTGGGCCATTTTTTCTTGTCCTTGGTGGTTGCTGCAAAAAGGACAAGCTAAAAGAGACAAACTGTCTCTTTCGGTTAAAATGAAAAGAACAGCATTTCCTAGCCGTTATATCTGCTATACCCTACCTTTACAACTGGGATTCTAAGGAGAAACTGTTATTATGGAAATTGGGGTTAATTTACCCCCACCGACAATCATTTACAAATTCTTAGACCGTAACAAATTATAATGTTTTAATGATTGTTGCTGTTAACATTCAATAATCTTAATGCAAATGATGGCAGGAACATTCGAAATGTGACTGAGAGGAGGGAGTTGGGGTACTTCTCCTGCGGAACTGGTAACCCCATTGATGACTGCTGGCGTTGTGACCCCAACTGGCAAAAGAACCGGAAGAGACTTGCCGACTGCAGCATCGGTTTCGGAAGGAACGCGATAGGTGGGCGTGATGGACGCTTCTATGTCGTCACTGACCCTAATGATGATGACCCTGTTAACCCCAAGCCCGGGACCTTGCGTCATGCTGTGATCCAGGAGCAGCCCCTTTGGGTTGTGTTCAAGAGGGACATGGTTATCAAGTTGAAGCAGGAGTTGCTTGTCAACAGCTTTAAGACCATCGATGGTCGTGGGGTGAATGTTCATATTGCTAACGGGGCATGTATCACCATCCAGTTCGTTACCAATGTGATTGTTCATGGTCTCCATATTCATGACTGTAAGCCCACAGGCAATGCCATGGTGAGAAGCTCACCCTCTCACTTCGGTTGGAGGACGATGGCCGACGGAGATGCGATTTCCATCTTTGGCTCGAGTCACATCTGGGTCGACCACAATTCTCTCTCTAATTGTGCCGATGGTCTTGTTGATGCTGTCATGGGGTCAACCGCCATTACCATCTCCAACAACCACATGACCCACCACAACGAGGTGATGTTGCTGGGTCACAGCGACTCTTACACAAGGGACAAGCAGATGCAAGTGACCATCGCCTACAACCATTTCGGAGAGGGGCTAGTACAGAGAATGCCAAGGTGTAGGCATGGGTATTTCCATGTGGTAAACAACGACTACACTCACTGGGAAATGTATGCCATTGGTGGAAGTGCAAATCCTACCATAAACAGCCAGGGTAACAGATACGCAGCTCCGACGAATCCATTCGCAAAGGAGGTGACCAAGAGGGTGGATACTGCTCAAGGCCAGTGGAAGAGCTGGAACTGGAGGTCAGAAGGGGACCTGCTTCTAAATGGTGCATATTTCACTCCGTCCGGTGCTGGAGCCTCAGCCAGCTATGCCAGGGCCTCAAGCTTGGGGGCCAAGTCCTCCGCCATGGTTGGGGCCATCACTTCCAATGCCGGTGCTCTACCCTGCCGCCGAGGCAGGCAATGCTAGTTAGCACCCAATCTCCTTTTCCATCATTCAAAAGGAAATTAAAAGCACTACCAACCAACCAAATATCCATATTCCCTATCTACCTGCATCATCACACATTTTGAGTCTAGTGTACATTTTTTTTACAGTCATTATTTTGTCAACCTTCCGCCTGCTTCAACTCAAGTATAAAAAAAAATGGTCTTAGAAGCAGGTACACAAGCGTTGTCCTGCGTCAATCTTGGTCTCTCTTCCTACACTTTTGTCTTTCGGGTTTATAGGTGAATTTTATTTTATTGCTTTCAAATTGTGCGTTGTCAAACAAGCAATAGTATAAATGTCAAAGTTTGGAGTTATTTAAAGACTTTTTTTACAGAGATGATGCAATAGTCAATAGCAGTGACGTTTTCCCTTTTATTACCTTTTTCGCTTTTCTTTTCTTTTCTTATTGGAAACGATCCTTTGTACTTTTTTTTATATTACTATTCTTATATTCATACCTTTCTTTTGCCTTTATTTTTTTTCACTTTTTGGTTCAGTAATTGTAGCGATTTTCGTTTTCAGTAAGCTGATGCTCACCTGGTTGTGTTGTTTCTCTGCCACTGCCAGCCAAGATTAATAATTCTTTCATGTGCTGTGCTCTCACTCACATTAACAGAAAGAAAGTCATCACTGATATAATGACTTGTTTTAGCTTTTGGTCGTTTTACCAAAATGATGCCAATTCCAACCGGTAGCTTTAAATGAGTTCAACCACTTTCTCCATTGTACCTTGTACTTCCCCCAAATAAAAGTTTGAAATTACAATTGCCTACATATATAATAATATCAGAGTGTTTGGCACAATAATAAGACACATCAGACTTACCTTTAAAATTAATTTATGTTCAAAACTTAGAAACTACATTAATGAGAGTGAAAGTAACCATCACGAATTCCAAATATAAATATTAAAATGATCCTAAATCATAGAGGAACATAAATAATAAAAATATACTTATATAAGGACTACCCTCTCGTTTCAGGGGGCAAAACTAATATGTAACATAATTCCTAATATTGTAATCAGTGGTAGTTTAAAACCCCAAACACCCAAAATCTCGCAAAACCGGATTCAATAGTAAGAAGTTTACTCTTTTTTTTAATAAATCCTAATCCTAATTCTACCTAGAGAGAGAAGAAGAATAAGAGAGAACTCTAAAGAGAAGGAATGGAAATATTCTTAGTGAGTCTAAAATTTAGGGAATAATATGAGAGAATAAAGATGAATAATTTGACTATCCGACCAGATGTACTTACTCTTGTAGAATTCCATTTAGTTAGAGAGCGAAAACAAGGATTGAATGAAAAATTATGTATTGGGTGTAATAAGTTGGTTGAAGTTGACCATTAAATGGCTAAAACATACTAAAGCGATGAGCTGCAATACCATAATTTAGATATTAAAAATGAGTTTAATGAATTAAAATATATCATTCTATCCAAAATTATTTTTTAAATAAATTTTGATAATTATATATTTTATACAATATGAGTCTAATAAAATCTAACATTAAATAAATAAAATTGTTATTTATATAATATATAAATTTAAAATGATAATATGTTAATAATATAATTAATAATTTGTAAAATTAAATAAAAAATTGCATATTAAAATAAAAAAAAAAATCAAAATTTAATAAAAATTCATATAAAAATTTAGAAGTCTATAATTATACTTTTGTCATGAAGCTAAAATCTTGAATGAACGTGATATATATATGGCCGAAAAGACCGTTGGAATTGGTAGCAGCCCAGTCCCCGGTTTGAAAATCTGTAAAAAAAAAAAAACCCCGCGTAATTCTCTCAAATCCTTGGTGAACCACCACAATTAACTACAATTACGCAAATTAATCATTTCATGTCCAAATCCCATCCACTCTTCTCTTTCTGTATTTTCATTTTCTATAGTCCGGGTGTTGAAGTTTTGCTTCTCAAAATTATAGGGTTAGGCTTTTTTTCTTCTTCTTTTATTCAGAGATGGGGCAACAGACGTTGATCTACAGCTTCGTCGCTCGTGGCACGGTTATCCTCGCTGAGTACACCGAGTTCACCGGTAACTTCACAAGCATCGCCGCTCAATGTCTCCAGAAGCTCCCCACTTCCAACAACAAGTTTACCTACAATTGCGATGGCCACACCTTCAATTACCTCGTTGAAAATGGATGCAGTAACCTTCTCTCTTTCCCTTCGCTTTTCTACCTTCTTTCTTTCCCTTTATCTGTACGTTGTTTTCCATTTGCTTCGTGTTATTCGATTGGTTTGACACCACCCAGTGGCGGATTTATTTTTTTCTCGGAGTATCAATTTTATGTTGGTAATATAGTGTGTTCATCCTAAAAAAATATTTCTAACTTCGTCACTCCGTCACTGTACCTCAAATTAGTGTGATGAACGGATTCTCTTATTTTTCGGTTGATTATTTAATGATTCAAATATGAACATCGACATGCGTTCTTGTTATTGCCACGTTTTGGATTTGGGATTTGTAGTTTTGTTTTACAGAAAGTGTTCTTGTTGGGTTTTTGTTGTTTTACATTTCTACTTTTTGGATTCTCTTTCTACGAGCTGTCGATGTTGATTTCCTTGATTTTCAATCATTCTATGTGTGCATATTCGTCTACTATTTACATTTGTTCGTTTGCGAGGATAGATTATTCGATTCACTTGAATGTTGGATATGCTCAGTAATGCTCCTTACGAAGAAAGAAGGTTTGCGGCCATTATTGTGTGGTTTTGATTCTTTTCATCATCATATAACATGCCCAACGTTCCTTACGTATACAAATGTGAGGTGAACGAAGGGGGGATATTCTTTACTTTTCTTCTTCTGTTTGAATAGACAATGTCTCATTATAAGCTTATCAACAGTTGGAATAGTTTTATTAATCTGGGATATAATATCGTGTTCTTTCTTTTTGAATGAAAGGGAGACCGAAACTAGTACATCAATGAGATGTGTCTAAATTGAGGTTAATGAAACATTTAGGGGGTCACTATTCTTTACAATTTACAAGGAGCATTATGAACTGAAGTATGCTTTATTTTGATTTTTGCTTCTATGCTTTTCCTTTTTCTCTACCGCTTTGGAAGCTGCATTTAATTGATATTTCCTATCCTTCTACGAATTTAAATGTCTGTCTTGTTGTTTTCATTTAAGCATGGGAATGTGTTGTGCATCTGGATTCACACTGATGACAGTACTTGCAAATGAGCTCTGTGCTGGTAGTTGTAGTACAAAATGTGTTCTTCAATGTAGAAAGTAGAGAATGATGTTGGGAAGCAAAGGGATTTTCTTAAGACATTACTACCATCAAACATGGAGAAAACTAAAAAGCACTTTCCATTCATTGTTAATAACGTGTTTTTCAACGTGTTTTTTCATGTTCATCTTTTCCATCAAGGGTCACATCCTGCAATTGTACCTCTTGATTAGGCATATCCAGGTCACTGTCTCGTGTACAATTGCCTCTGCATGCAGTTTTTCTTGCTTCCTTGTGGGTGCATGTACATGCAAATAATCAAGAAATGAGTGCTTATTTTCATATTTGGTTTTCTCTAATATATTTGGTGCTGCAGCCTACTGCGTGGTTGCTTCTGAATCTGCTGGCAGGCAAATTCCAATTGCATTTCTGGAAAGAATTAAGGAAGACTTCAGCAGGAGATGTGGTGGAGGGAAGGCTGCAAACACTATTCTAAGAGCCTGAATAAAGAACTTAGGTATTTCTCACTCTATGTTTCTTCCTATAGAATTATCCTTTTTACATTTGGTTGCCATGCTTAGCTCTTTATACATTATAGGTCCAAACTGAAGGAGCACATGCAATATTGTGCCGGACAACCGAGAAGATCAGCAAACTTGCCAAAGTGAAGGCTCAAATTTCCGAAGTCAAGGGTAATGCAGCTTCTGACTCTAGATGTTGTTTGTGTTCTGTACTTAGTAACATGTGCCTTTCTCCAGGTCCTTGACCGTGGTGAGAAGATCGAGTTGCTGGTCGATAAAACCGAAAACCTTCGCTCACAGGTTACTCCTATTCAAACTGCATTTCATGTGACTTTCTTGTATGGTTTCTTGATACCCTGGACTGCATGAAGCATCTAACTTGATATACCTAAGATGCTGCACAATTTGATGCATGTGACATGATCCTGAATTCCAGGCACAAGATTTCAGGAAACAATGGACTAATGTAAAAAGAAAGATGTGGCTTGAGAACATGAAGAAGAAATTGATTGTTTTCGGTATCGTTTTCTTGTTGGTTCTTATCGTTATCCCGTAGATCTGCCCTGGCTTCAAATGTTAGATCTGTCTGGATTTCCGTCCTACTGCTCTTGCTGCGTTGCTAAATGGGGTTGTCCTGACTCTCTTGATAGATTTGATCCATATTAATTCCCTTCATTTTTAGTGCACATGTGTCTCCTCCCCTTGCTAGCCGTTTAGGATAGGGAGAGGCTTTTGCATCTCGGTTGTCTGTATAGGATATGGTTTGATCTTACGGTAGATAAATATTTCTATCAATTATTTTCTTCTTTATGTTGTAAAGGAGAAATACTCGAATGCCTGGATATCCTATTCACCCTCTTTCAAATATTATTAAAACCAACCACATTATCTTTGAGTTTTACATTATTCAACTCAGACTTATTTACAGGACATGCATTTTACTTATGTTTACTATAGCCCAGACGATCACGTGTAATAATCCATACCATAAATAAGAAATGCATGGGCTAGTGGCATTGCTCGTGATGATGGTTGTTTGGTTATTATAGGAACATTGGCTCTTTCTCTATATTTAATTTAGAACTTTGAACGATCTTAGATGGAGTTCAAATAAAGGAGTTGGTTGTTCCATAATCGAAATTGATAGCAGTAGTATTTTATTTTCATCTGGTAACAAAAATAAAAGGAGTTTGACTCTTTCAAATAAACCACACAGCATTTTAAACAAACTGAAAAAGTAAAATAAAAATGCAAAGTGAAGTGGAACCAGGTTACATGATGATTTGTTCAAGCGACGATGCTGTGGAGCACCACAGTCTCAACGGTTAGGCCAGGTCCGAACCCAAACAAAACTCCCCACTCAAGCCCTTCTCCCGTGGTCTGAAGTCCTTCTTCCATTGATTTCTTTCTCATCTCATCCAAAATGAATAGCACACAAGCACTTGACATGTTGCCATACTCTGAAAGAACATGTCTCGTGGCTCGTAGCTTCTCGGGCTCGAGTGCTAACTTGGTTTCTACTTGGTCCAGTATGGCTGGACCACCAGGATGAGCTATCCAGAAAAGTGAGTTCCAATCGGATATGCCCAGAGGCTGAAATGCCTCAACCAAACTCTTTTCTATGTTCTTGGAAATAAGCCCCGGAACATCCTTCAGCAGGTGAAATGTGAGCCCAGCTTCACGGAGGTGACCATCAATGGCACCATCACTGTCCGGCAGTATCATTTGGGCCGCCGAGACTAGTTCGAACAAGGGCTTCTCTATTTCGGGCACCGGGTCTGCACCGATTATAACAGCAGCAGCACCATCACCAAACAATGCTTGGCCCACAAGACTGTCTAGGTGGGTGTCGGTAGGCCCACGGAAGGTAACAGCGGTAATCTCCGAGCACACGACGAGGACACGGGCACCTTTGTTGTTCTCAGCCAAGTCCTTGGCAACTCGAAGCACGGTGCCTCCGGCGAAGCAACCTTGTTGGTACATCATGAGGCGTTTAACGGAGGGGCGGAGGCCCAAGAGCTTGGTGAGTTGGTAGTCGGCCCCGGGCATGTCGACGCCACTGGTGGTGCAAAAGACAAGGTGAGTGATCTTAGACTTGGGCTGGCCCCATTCTTTAATGGCCTTGGTAGCTGCTTCTTTGCCTAGCTTTGGCACCTCAACCACCACCATGTTTTGCCTAGCATCTAGTGAAGGAGCCATGTATGCACATACATTGGGGTTCTCTTTCAGAATCTCTTCTGTTAGGTACATGTACCGCTTCTTAATCATGGATTTTTCACCTAATCACAATAAAAAAGTTTACACCATAACATAAAATTCTTCGTGCAACTTTGTGGCAAATGTTGTTAGCGTTATCTTATTTCAAGTTTGTGGCATTGTAGGAATTTGATTAATTGTTCCATCATATGCTTTTCTAGAAACAAGCTAACAAGATTTAATCTATTTTCAAGTCAAATTATATATGTACCATTAAACACCTTTCATGTTCATGCCAGAATCATGTATGAAACTCCAAATAACCTTAACTGTCTATATACGTAATCTTTAAACATCATGAGCATAGTTCAGCTCATTCATGTTGTTTTATAAATATATCTACGAGTTTAGAGTTTAAAATTTAGTATTTTAAATAAGATCCGATGAAAAGAAAATTATAAAAAAGAAAGAAAAGAAACCTACACATTCGCTTGAATTTCTCTTTGAGCTCAGTCATGTGCTCACTATTTGTGATACGGAAATAGTAATCAGGGTATGTGCTCTGATCAACACAATTTGGTGGAGTGGATGTGCCGATCGCCAGAATGGTGGCTGGCCCTTCAGCACGTTGTGCCTTACGAACTTCCTCGACTGTCACCATTTGTTTTCTGATGTACAAAAATGGGCTTAGAAGCCAATGGTGTCGGACTAAAGTGGTGCAGAGTTTTGGTCCTATAAATAAGATTAGGGCGCATGGGCTGAGGGTAGGTGACAGTCACGTGCGTAAGCCCCATAGCGAGCTGTTAAGAACGAGTGGCAATGGCGTTGGCACGTGATTTTGTTGCTTCCATCTATCCCTCAAACTTACATCGACCCTTCTTCCTTTCCAACCCTTCATATCCTCCACGTGTTTCTCGAAATTTGGTTGGTTCTTACTTACCACATCAACTCATCATTTAATTAAACCTACATTCATTTCCATTTATTGAGATTTGTATTACGTTGAATCAAATATATTCATAAATTCGATTTGAATTTTATTAAAGATCAATATTGTTACTAGAGTTGGTTCAAATGGTAAACAATATAATATCATTTAAGTATGTCTCGAATTTAAAATTTTGTGTATGTAGAAAATTCTCATTGAAAGACCCACTCACCAAAACTTTGTGTAAATGATTGTTTGATAAATTTAACAATGATTTTATAACTTTTTAATTGTTTTATTTCAAGTATCAATATATTTTTTCGATAAAATACATAGTATGTTTCTAAACTATGATCAAATGAACTTTCAAAAGTTATATAATAATTGTTAAATTTATCAAATTATTAAAAAAAATTCATCACGGCGTTGCAAAATGATCATTAAAATTATTGAATTATTACAAAAATATTTTATATTTTACAATTTTTAAAAATTTAGTAATCTAAATGATTATTTGATCATAGTTTAGGGTTTTCTCTTCTACTTTATCTTATATCTTATATTTTATATTAATATGAGGTGATTATAATGTAATCTTGTAGACCAAATCTCTAGAAAACACAATATTCACTTTTATCACTAATCATTTATATTTTTTATTTTAAACAGTGAAATAGACGTTAAAAGATGAAGATAGGATTGAACAAGTATTTATTAAATTTTATTTGATCATACCCAATTCGACCAAAATTCATGAATTACTCTACGTTCAACCTTGAAAAGAGCGTGAGCATAATTTTGGCACAAAATGCGGAAGCTATTAGCGTCAAGATCGCAAGCATGATCACAGAAAAATATGAACGCGGAATGGGGATTGACGGCTCAAATGAGATCATTGCATGGGGAAACAGTTCGGAAACCAAGCTTTTATCACCTATATTGATTCTTTAAATTATATTTATCCTTTGATAACAGAAAGCTTAAGTTATAATCTGAACTATTTTTACTATTAATAAGATTAATCTAAATTTTATTACTTTAATTTCATTAGAAAAACATTTCTTAAATAAAATTATTTTATAATAAATAAAAAGAGATAAAGTTTAACCAACAACCACTTGGATCGGTGGGAGGAGGCATTGAATTTCTTAAACAATGTTAGATGTTCGAGTTATGATGATTGTGAATGGAACAAACTGGATTGGAAGGTCACTCTCGTAATGTATCGTTTGGTGCGTGAGTGCTTCTTCAACCAAGCTGTTCATACATATACGAATAGGACTTTTACTGTTTCTTATCCTGAAGGTTGCAGCGCCAGAAAGCATTACTAAATTTTGATATATTAGCTTTTGCACTGTACTATATAAAATAGTAATGAAAGTGGTAATCATATAAAAATTGCTTTTAAGCGATGTATTGTCAATTTGGGACTTTACATTTTACTACTTAAATTTAATTTATGTTTTGTGACATTGGACTTTGGTTTTTTATCATTTATTTGCTGAATTTTGATGATTGATATGTGTGCATTGCATGATGTGTTTGATGATTAGTGTTAGTTCTGTTCAAGAGTAAGTTCAGACATGCCATATGAATAGATATGTTAAATCTTGACATTTTGTGGTTTGGTTAGTATGAACAAGGTACAAAACACGAAAGTAGTATGCTAAAAGTTGTTATAATAGATAAACGATCTTAAGTAACAAATATGACTGTAGGAGTTCACAAAAAGTAAATTTTTATATATAACAACTTTGAATTCCTAAATTGGCTCGAATATTAATTTTATATTGTAAAATATGACTGCGATGTGCGTTGATGTATTTGTGACGATTCAAGTATATGTATTATCTGCAGAAGTAATTGTGTATGATTTTAGCTCAAAATTACATATTCAACTTGTATTTTTTTAATTTTTCAAAAAAAAAAAATCAAGTGCAAAGTATCGATCTCTTAACTACTAAAATTAGAATGATTATTTACTTTTGGGAAATGATGGATCTCTTTCTTGAAAGACTAATTCCTATGTTTTGAAAACACATATGAATGCTTTAAAGTGGTATTTTAAGCCTTCAAAGTTGGTTTTAAGTCTTTGGTACTTAAGTAAGTGATGTTATATAAAATAGTCCTCAGATTTTCAAGATGAAAGTGGAAATAAAGTTTAACCCGAATGAAGTTTACTTTTCAACAGTGAAATTACAATACAATTGAAGTGTTTTGACAATTTCTATTTTTATTTTTATTTTTTTGGTACAAGAATCTTAGAGTAAAAAAGTATTGCAAACAAGTTTCGGGAGACAAAACTATAAAAGAAAAGGTAACCAATGATATTGCAAAGTGGTGTTTTCATCTTGGAGTATTGCTGATGCGACAACTCGCACCTGGCTCTTTGTTTTCACACCATTTTTTTTGGTCTATTGTCCCATTTGGCAACAATGAAGGCAAAAGAAAACAGACAAATTGATTTGACTCCAGCATGCTTTCATTCCATTTTGCTTTTAATAATCCTACAAATAAATAATTTATTTTAAAATTAATAAAAAACAAATATGCATGTATAAAATGAATGTTTCAAATTAATAAAATTCAATTTGAATCTATCTAATTATATCAAATAGTTAAAATATTTTACTTTTTAAATGATATGAAGTGATTAAAAGGTACTAACCGTTCAGATGCACACATATTTTGTAAACTCACCTATTTGAATTTTGATCCTCTAGCACACCCGTCCTTCTATAATGTGACTAGGGATGAACTAGGAGGAGGCGGTCGCCCTCCTAAAAATTTCAAATTTTTATATATTTTAGATATTTTCTTTGTATTTTCTACTGAAGATATGTTTTTGTCCCCTCTAAAATTTTATAAGTTCTCTACTTCTTAAAATTTTATAAGTTCATCCCTCCTAACATAAAATCATGTGTCATTCTTTGCTGACGACCCCGAATTTTGAGGGGGCCACACTTTAGAAAAATGTCAAAATTTTACTTTTAAGGGTGTTAGGAGAATGACACTTTTTAAATAAAATATCACGATTATAGAGTTATTTTGTGACATGATCTTAGTTTCATATGTTTATTTTTTTATTTTGTAAAAAAACAATTGTAATATGATAAAATTTGATATTTTATAATTATGTTTTATTATTAAATATTTTACGAGTCTCATTTTAAAAGTAGTATAGGATCTACACATCTTTTGGTATGAACATGTCTTCTAGCGAGAACAAACTTTTTGAATTTTATAAAGATAACATTTTCTCTAAACACTGATGATATTCAATGAGTTTATTAATTAAAATATTTTAAAATAATATAATAGAAAATAGAATGAAAAGGTGGTCACCAAGGTTTTAAAGGGAATAAATCCAAGTTTACCTGATAATGCGTGGGCAAATTTTATATATATGTATGTAGGACGAATTACCATAGAGAGGCCATCTTAGGTCTGTTAAGGGAATAAAAGTTGGCATATAGGCATGCTAGTATCAATGGGGATTCCAATAAAGCCTCTTACTGCTTTAGAATTGAGGTGGTGGTCGTTGAAGAAGAGGGTTCAGCACCATTATTCTGCTAACATGAAGATTTCCACACGTTTTCTGCTAATGCTTTTTGTTGCTTTGGGCCTCATCTTCATCTCCGTGCATCAACCAGGGCACTTTTTCGGCATGGAGTTCGAGGTTCGAGTGATCAATGGCTTCTCCAACAACTCATCGCTTCCTTTGGTGATCTGGTGCATATCACAGCAGGATGGGGACATGGGTGGGCGTGCCCTCCAGGAAGGTGACGATTACGGGTGGCGACTCAAGACCAATATCTGGGGCAATTCTCATTACTTGTGTACCATGAAATGGGACGCCAAGAGGAGGAGTTTCGATGCGTTTAAGGTCCCTAGAGACAGTCAAAGATGTGCTCCTCTTAACAGATGTTCATGGCTGGTTAAAGAGGACGGGTTCTACTTCAGCAGTGACGAAGTCAACTGGAAGAAAGACTTTTCCTGGTATTGAGTTTTGCATGTGCGCCTTGTGTTTAAAGATAGAAACCACATCTTGTCTGTCCATGTAAAACAAAAGTTTTGCTGTTTCTTTTTCGCTATTGCTATATGAGCGCTACAGTTTTGTCCATTCAAATCTTAATGGTGGGCTTCGCCGCGAGGGAAAAAGAGTGAAATATGGTTCAATTCCAAGGCATGCGCATGCCTTATGGAAGCTTAAGATTTCCCATTTGAATATCAATTTTCACTACTTATAATCTTTACTTCTTTCACTAAAAGAGAAAAAATGCTCAAATTTTGTAGTACCATTGTTGTACTATCTTTCCTTTCTTTGATTAATATAGAGTGGTTATAAAGTAATATATATTCGAAAGACTTTCAACTGAAGTATTTAATAATAAACGCTCAAATACCCTTTTAAACGTCGTGTTCAAATCCGAAACCTTTATAAATAACAATTATTCATTAACCATTAAAGTCACTTAGTTTTGTACAATCTTCCTTATCGGTATTGTCAAGGGCATGAAACTCCCATAAGACAATAAAATAAAAGAATAGAATAAAAGGTTAAGGGAGAATATAATCATGGTCCGTCCATGGTGATTAACAATTAGGTAGCTAACCTTATTAGCAGCTATTAAGTGGAAAGAAAGTAATATTGGTAAGACAAAATCATGCTAAAAGGATAATAATAACCTTATCTTTGAATTTATGTCAGTGCCAGTATATCAATCATAAGTTGATGGGAATAGATAATAAAAAAGATAATTAAACTGCCCAGATGACCAATAACATCTTTGGTGAAGCAGATTTTTTTAGTTTGACAGAGCACCTTGTTTATGCAGGAGAATCATAAAATACAAGTGCCCAAAGATTTATAGGGAAGGGATTGAATATTATATTGCAAAGCAACCTTTGTTTGGTAGTAAAACTTTTTATCTCCAACTTTTAGTTTTGGTTTTTCATATATATTATCGCTGCACTGTCCTCACTAGTTGTCGTGGGTCTACTAATGATTTTAGATCCACTCATTTAAAATATAAAAATGAAATGTTTCTTTTCATCAACAGTTTACAGCAACAATCGTCTAAAGTCTAATTTATTAACTGATCTCAATCATTTATGTAAATATTATTTTTTTTATATTTTGATTTCAAAATAATTAAGACAGTAGGGTATGTGTACCTTATTAATGACTAAAAATATAAATAAATATTATTTTATAATTATTAAAAAATAACGATCGCCGAAAGTTTAAAATGCAAGATAGTAAGTTATGCTCTAAAATACTATACATTTGTATCAAAGTTCCCCTTTATATTTGAGTGTGACTTGCATGTTATTAAGCTCTCCAATTGATAATATAAAATAACTTTGGAAGTGAGATTTCTATTTATTTTATTTCATATAGAACCTTGGAAGTACTTTCCTAAATGCCACTTGTATACTTGATGCACGAATAATTAATTATAATTAACATCCATTAATAAATTCATTAATGATAATTTAGGAAATTAAAATATTTTACTCTTGAATATATACTTTTTATTATAAATCTAGGATGAATGCAAAATAATATCTATTTAAAGACTCTAAAATCTTTTGATAATGAATGTTCATATCGTTTAATTACTTATATCGCTTAATTCATGATTGATTAACATTTTTAACCGATGACAGTGTGTAATTTATTATATACTTGTATTGATTTTCTCGCTGACAGTTCTAATCAGTACAATCTTTTAAGATCAACTACCACTTGAATTCAGCTTTGATAAAATATAATAACAACTCCTTTAATTACTTGTATAGTAGAATTCATGATTAACACCTTTAACCGGTGATAACACATAGTTTATTATACTTGTACTGATTTTCACGCTAACAGTTCAATTAATACATTTCTGTAGGATAACTACCATTTGAATTCAGCTTTGATAAAATATAATAACAACTTGATTATTGAGATAGTGCCCAAAGCACAAACTTTGGGAGATCCTACAGTTCCTAGTTTTGTCGATCTTCCGTTCGAGCATGGTGGCTTGAACAATAATAACAGATTTCCACCTCAATAAAAGTACAATCAGAAGAAAAACTTTTAATAAAAAATTTCAAACTGTCATCTACTGATTGATATACAGTAAAAATCAAATAAATTTAATATTATATTTTTAATGTGTCTCCATATAATTTTTAATCTAAATATATTATCTCATGCACCACATATGGCATATAGAGTGTCTCATATCCTCTCATACTCTAAAAAAATCAAAAAGTTGTCAAAATTACCTCACTAAATGGATTTAGATTTATTCAAATTTCAAACACGAATTCTAATGTTTAAAAGACAGTTTTAAGTCGCATAATATTATTTAGATGCTTGGGCACTACGGGCGGATGTATATAACTTTCTAGGAGAGTAATTATATCTCTATTATTTTGAGAAAAATATTAAATTTAGTTTAATTTGTTAATAGTGATCAGAAAATAAAAAGAAACTATATATCTATTTTTTAAAATTAAATATTAAAATTTTGTACCCATTTTTTAATTTCTAAATTTGCACCGTTGGATACCTCACTTGTCATATATGTCCTATATGTATTATGACATTATGACATCATGGGTTTGAACTCTACTATGAGAGAAATACTTATTTAGCTTGATGGACTCTTGTTACATCGTCTAATTGGTTACTAGTTTTTACGAACCTTTTTTATGATAAGAAAATAGTAATATTTTGAAGTTTTTATAGTAGTTTGAAGTAATTATGAAGTAGTATTTTTTTTTAAATTTTCTTAATCTTTCAACAATATACACATTTTACAGACACAATTAGTTAAACCCATAACTTATAAAAAGAATAACCTTCGTAAATAAAATAATACTAAATTCATCGAAGATTATATGGTTAGTTGATCGAGGAATGATATTTTTTTAAATGTCAAAATTTTCTAAAACATGTAATGTTTTAATGCTTTTAAACTTAAAAGAATATTTTCAATCAAACATGAATAGAATGGTTTTGAACAAACAAGAACGCTTTGCTAATTCTTACCCGACCTGACCTTGCAATTTACCTTCAACAACTTCAAAAAAAAAAAAAACAAGAAGGAACTATTAAATAATTTTTCCCCTTCAAAAAGACAACATTAAATTGTATATAGCCGTAAAGTTGATCTTACATGTTTAGGCCGGTAATGCGTTTTTGCCTCTCCAAAACCTGAAACAGTAAATGATGACTTGCTGATAGCAGCAAGTGCGAGTCTATTACCAATATAAAATTATGCAGCAACTTGTCCAATTTGAACTTGTCCTGTCCAATTTGAACTTGTCCTGTCCAATTTGAGCTTGTCCTTTCCTCTTGATTTAATTCAAACTGATTTACTTTTCCGAAATTCAGTGATTCTACTTAGGTATTAAAATAATACATGTAAATATAAAAAATTAATTATGACGAGTCGCAGTTGTCATACTAAAGCATAAAAAAGAACATTTTTTCAAAGAAAAAACTTAGTTTTAAAATAAAGGAAGGAATTGTAAATATTGAAATTCTCTCGTCCATTGGATGTTATCTATTAAATGTATATGTATGAACCGAATGAACTAAGCTTCAAGTTCTATTACTTTATTAAATATTTAGTATTCAAGTAAAAGTACTTTTGTAAGCATCATATGGCTAATACCATAACTAAAAAAAGCTACTTTTTTGCAATAAAAAGAAGAAGAAGAAGAAGAAGAAGCTAGTTTTAACTCATGACTTCTCTTTATAAAAGTTTTCTTTTTGTTCAATCATATAAAAATTTGATTGTTTCAATTTCGATAATTGAAATTTAAAATCTTACGTTTTGGTCACTTAGTTTACCAATTAGTTATAATTTGATTACTGAACAGTTAACTCATGTTAAATTAATGATGTGATCGGTTATCAAAAATTTAAGTTCTAATTTGATCTCTGACTTTGACAATATTAATCACAAGAAGAAGAAACTGAACATAATTCCAAAACTGAGTGGTAAAATTCTCAAACATACTAGGTTTCTTTAATCTTAAAATTGGGGAAATGATAATAATAGTATAAATCATTTTGGGTTTGAATGTGATAGAGAAATGAAGAAGAATGAGAAGAACTTATGTTTGAGAATCCAATTGAAGTTTGTAATTATGCAAATAAGGGAAGTGACTTTTCTTCCACCATCAAGACTTTCTCTTCTGAACCCCAGTGATGAGAGATGGAAACTTATGGACGACATAATTCATTGACTGTCGATCTAAAAGAGGAAATAAGGGTTAAAATTATAGCTTCTCAAATGACTCGAACAAGAAAAAATATACACATGTATTTTGATACTTATTAAACAACTTGGTATTATGAAAATTAAAGTAATAATGAGGTCTACAAATGATAAATTAAATTAAGGTCAAGTGGTTACCGTAATGGACATGCCAAATCAAGATCTCTCTAAAAATAAGCACTTGTTGCAATTTGCAATTCATGAAACAGATATTTGTACTTATTGTGGGCCAACCCAACTTGGATTCAACCCAACATAGAAAACAAACAACATTGAGAAATAATCCCCATATCTTTTGCTTGATCTTCTATTTTTCTTTCTTCTAAACAACCTTAAGTTATCATTTTTAGCATCGGTAACGACACAACAAACGTAAATGTTATTTTCTTTGGTGCTCCACAAAATAAAACAACTAAATAAATAAATCAATGAAGTGTCGCGTTCAAGTTTTCAAAATTAAGCTTCGCGACAAATTATAGGATTAATCATCTTTATAGTAAATAAATGTTTTCAATAAAAAATTGAAAATAATAAAGAACCGTTAAAGATATCAACGTTATTATATTCAAGGTTCTCTAGTAGTAGTGATATGAAATTAGGTATTCGAATGAGTTTCAAGTTAGGTTAACTAAATCAGGTACAAGTTATGTCAGATCATTTCAATAGTTCAACTTGAGTCGGATCGGATTTGAGTCATTGTCAAGTTGGTTTCAAATTAGTTTGGGTTCAGATTGGATTAATTTTAGGTTGGGTCAATATTAGTTTAAGTCAAAACAATTTATGTCGAATTAGTTAAATATCAAGTTAATTCAAATTCGAATGGGCTTTAGGTCATGTCGTTGGTGGATCAAATTTAGGTCGGATAAAATCATGTTG